TGAACAATTTTGAATCTTTTATAGAAGTTTCTAGTGTTATGTCATCAATTAGTTTAGGCAATAAATGATTGGAAGTAGATAATGGGCATTTTTTTCTTTTTAGAACAGTTAGCAAAATTGTTAAATTTTCTTCAAGGCCTGATTTGTGGACTTATATGTATTTTAGATCAAGTCTGGTGCTTTTATGGCTTAAGTAGAACTATGGCAATGACTATATTAGCTAAAGATGTTAATTAATTACTATATAAGCTGAATAAATCATACCAAACTAAACCATGTGTCCCAATCAGGTTGGGTTGCTTAGTTTATTGTTACGTTGCTGAATTGTTTCTAAGTCCGAATGATTATGGAAATAGAAAAAAAAAAGAAAAAAAGAAAAAAAAAGATATGCATTGTCTTCTTAGTATAATAGAACTGAACTTTCATAAAATGTCTTTAACTGTAAAGTGTAAACCATACGGTTTATCAGCTTCTTTTATTGGGATAGTTTGCCTAAACCGGTTTGGGAGTTAGAGTAAGATTTCACTCTAGACAAATTAGTTTGTTCAGAAACTTAGAATTCGAGGTGTTAACGCCCAAAAATCACCAAACGGCGTTGGAGTAGTACGAAACTTGACACACACAACCGCCTAGGCACGAGAGACTTGTGGGAGAAGACGGAACTCGAATCGGATTCTCGGTTTGGGAGTTAAAGCCAGATTTCACTCTAGACAAATTAGTTTCTTAAAAAACTTAGAATTCGAAGTGTTAACGTCCCAAAATCACCAAACGGCATTGGAGTAGCACGAAACTTGGCACACATGACCGCCTAGGCACGAGAGACTTGTGGGAGAAGACGGGACTCGAATCGGATTCTTGGTTTGGGAGTTAGAGCCGGATTTCACTTTAGACAAATTAGTTTCTTAAGAAACTTAGAATTCGAGGTGTTAACGCCCCAAAATCACCAAACGGCGTTGGAGTAGCACGAAACTTGGCACACTTGACCGCCTAGGCACGAGAGACTTGTGGGAGAAGATGGGACTCGAATTGGATTCTCGGTTTGGGAGTTAGAGTTAGATTTCACTCTAGACAAATTAGTTTCTTAAGAAACTTAGAATTTGAGGTGTTGACGCCCCAAAATCACCAAACGACGTCGGATTAGCACGAAACTTGGCACACACGACCGCCTAAACACGAGAGACTTGTGGGAGAAGATGAGACTCGAATCGTGTTCTCGATTTGGGAGTTAGAGTCAGATTTCGGTCTAGGCAAAATTATTTACTTAATTATCTTTATAATTGTATAGTAATTAAATTTTTATATTTTTTTGTAATTAACATATTAACACACAATTATATTGCCACTAATTATTTTTATTTTTTGTTTTCAGATATTTCCCGAGTAGGAGTTTACTTCTTGTGGAATGTATGCCTGTGAAAAATGCGACTAACTTTTGTTTTTATTAGCCACGGAGAATGATGAGAAATTTTTTTAATTTTGGTTTATGTTATTTTGAATTATAAACAACTTTATGTATTTAAACATTATATATGTATTATGGAACATTATGTAGTGAGGTAATTTTGTTGATGCGTAATTATGGATGCAAGAATGTTTTTATTATGGAGAAATTGTTATTTCTATACAGGAATTTTTATATTATTATGCAGGTATTGGTTTCTTTTTCAATTGTTTTTCATTTAATACAAGTAATTTTAATATTTTTAATTGCAGGTTTTTTTTTTGTTTGGGTGATGGCACCACACTGTCGCAAAAAAACATGTAATTTTAATATTTTTATTAATTTTATTGCAGTTTTTTTTTTTTGGCGACGGCACCACATCGTCGCAAAAAAAGCACAATTCGTGACAGTATTACTTGCGGTCTCAAATAAGACTTTTAACGACGGTAAAACAATGTCGTCGCAAAAGGTCTCATTTTTTTATATATTATAGGCGACAGTAAAATGCCGTCGCAAAAAGCAACAATTGCTGTCACAAAAAAAGGCAAAAGTTTTTGCAACGCCCTCTGTTGTGACCCCCTTTTACTGTTGCTAAAAGTCATTTGCTGTCGCTAAAAGTTTTTTAAGACGACATTAGGAGTATTACCGACGGCATTTTGCGGTCGGAAAAACTTGAATTTTCTGTAGTGATTATTTTACTATCGCTACCATCGCTACCACTACAGCACCACCATGCCACCACTACCACCACCATGCCACCGCCAGCACCACCGCCAGCACCACCACTATCACTATACCGTCATATCATCACCATCAGTACCACTTTCATTACAATAAAAAAAATTGAAATGTACAATTTAAAAGTAATAAATTTTAAAATTTGATTTTATAAATATCAAATAATTTATTTTTAATTCAACACTCGATTTTAGTCAAACAATTTTTCATCTCAAAAAATTTAACATTCAATTTTTAGTACTTAATTTTTAATTTTATCAAACACCACCTAAGATAAAACTGATTAGAAGAAATGTGAGGCTGATCCACTGTCAAATTACTCATTTTCATAAACAGCAATTCTACATATACGGAGAATTTATTTTAAAAAATAATCAGATAAACAATTTTGCAATTGAGATTTTTTAAAATGAATCCCACGACATAAGAGTAGAATCTACGCCACTCATTAATTTTCTGGTAAGAATCTGAGTCAACTTTACGAATAGATAGGTTTTCAGTTTCATGAATCCTAAATTTTTAATGAAATGGTGTCCCAACAAACAGAGAAGAGGATGGTTGCAACAAACCTTTGAATTAAGTCACTACTTTTTAAAATTCACTTTACACTTCACAGGAAACCAAAACCAATCTCCAAAATCTCAACCCACAGAAAAAACCAAATACAGATGATTGATTATAGGTGAAGTGGCTCCACTCATAATATATTTAGCTAGAATAATTGTAAGGGATTAGCACTCTAATTGGAGTAGTAATTTAGCATTATGGATGACTTAGCAAAAATGGATGAGAGGTGGGATTGATGTCAAAAGATCATTTTCTCCCTTAAATTTGGGAAACTAGTTTTTTGGTTGAAATAGTTATGAAGTCAAAACACTCAATCACATTATTCTTTCTATTTTTTTCAAGTCTTTTTGTAAAAAATCAACTAAAATAGTTAATTTCCTAACAAGTTCTAAGGCTTGGTTTGGCATCTTCAAAAAAAGTTAAAAAGTCAAAAAATCACTATCTTATTTAAGTCACATTATCCTATTTAAGTCACATCACCTCTCTACTAAATCACTTCAAACTCAATTCATATTTCATAAAAAGTCAAAAAATACACTTATTTCGATCATCTCAAACCACCCCTTAATTTCAATGATTCTACAATGAAAGAAGAGTAATTATAGATTTAGGCCTCGTTTGGGAACCCTCTTTTTTAGTCAAAAAGTCAAAAAGTTACTAAATTAGTCAAAAAGCCAACAACCTATACTAAAAAGTCAAAGATTCTCGTTTCTCTCTACTTTTTGCACATCTTTTCGTAAAAAGTCAAAAAATCATCCCAAACATACTAGTTTTTTTTAACTCATATTTTAGCCAAATAATCAAAAAATTACTAAATTAGCCTGTTCCCAAACAAAGCCTTAATATCAATCCATTAACATCACTACACAACTACACAGACAAACATATTTTATCTTATGTTTTTAACATAACATCATTATATTATTAATTTCCTCATTCAATTTTGTCACGCTTATAATTCTAGCTAACTTAATCTGCAATATCTCTCCCACCTGTTCCTCACGGGCTGCAGAGCCCCCCCTGCCCGCCCCTCCATGCATCCCTCTAAAGTTTAAAGTTCTCACTCGGTCAATTCGGTCAGCTCCAATAAAATAAACAAACAATTATTGATTGTTATGTACCCCACATATATTGCTCTATTACAAATAGAAGCAATCAGACGAAAAACCGGCATTGCCGTCCCAACCAAACAGAGCACAGTCTCTCTCTGCTTGCTCCGCCTCTCTCTCTCTCTCTCTCTCTCATAGTTTCGGATATTCCGATACTTTCTGTCTCTATAAAGCCTTTAGAATTTTGAGTTTCAACCCTATTGGAGTCATAATTGTGATACTTGTAGAGCAAATGAAGAACAAGCTCTTCCTCTGTTTCCGACCTGTTACCATCGAAACAGAGACACAATCCAACGATCGGGCTTTCACTCGTCGCACAGTTCACCCCCACCACTCCACTAATGCTGCCACCATCACCACTGCCACCACTAACACAAAGAAAAGTTTGATCCCAAATGCAATTCTCAATTACTTTGGGTACTTTTCCAGAAAAAATCTAAGATAAGATAAGAAAATATCTAAGAGTTAGATAGATGACTAATTGGAAATACTGGAATGGAGTTAAATTAAGATGAAATTTTAGAAGGGGGCAAGGTAAAAGTTACTTAGACGTTGGGAAGGAGGCAAACTACTATTTTCTGTTATAAATATCCAAAAAAAAATGTATTGGACCCCTTAAATTTTCTGAAGTTTTGGAGGCCATGGACCCCATCTGCCTCTTCTGTGTCTTCCATTGCATGTAATTGTTGCTAATATATTGTTAACTTATTGTGAATATGGCAGCTGGTGGTGCTCAAACAAACTCCACTACAAGATCGAATCTTGCTGGAGATGCTAGGCTGCCGGCAGTTGGTGGCCTTGGTGGTCTTGGTCTCCCAGAGATGTTTGGTTCCATGCAGGATACTGCTTTCATTAAGTCAGTTTGCACAAAATCCAGCTGTATCACAGATGATGCAAGTTCTCCTCTCCAACCCTCAGTACATGAATCAGGTCTACTTTTTTGTGTTTTCTATATGTTTTATTGTACTAGTAATGATTTGAATTAGACTTGATTTTGATTCTGTTAAGCTGGACCCTCTTGATTTTGGAATTTATTTATTTGCTTCAGATGTCAAGCATTTTTAGGAGGATCCATGGTTTGTTTTGGAAAAATTAGTTTGAGGAATGTGAAAGTGAAATTTACTTGATTAGCCGCATCTATTCTAACAGTTTTCAACTGTTATAAGCTTGTGTTTGTGAAAGCTGCTTCTTGAATGTTGTTTAATTGCATTATACAGTGGCTGGTTGTCTCATCTCACGAACAGTTGTTGCTTGTTGTTCTTGATATGTGGGGGCTTCAACAGGTAAAGGAGAGATAAGAAAAATAAAGAGTCAGAAAGAAGAGAAGACAATTGAATTGGTGAGTGAGATTGCTGCTGGTTGCAGCGTGAGGAAGAAGGGGGAGGAGGAAAGAGAAAAGTAAAGAAAAAAATAGGGGGTAAAATTGTCATTGAACACTCTAAATTTGTCATACACACTCAATCCCGCTCGTGTGTTTGCCAATTTTGATGGAATTCGCCAATTTTGCACTCCAAGGTTGTGTACATTTTTAAATGTCATGGGGTAATATGTTTTTAGATTAAGCATAGGGGTTATAGTGTAACTAACCCTTGTTTTTATTGCTGAATAGCCACATCACATATCACGCTCCGAATTTTTTTGACTAGCTCTCTATACTTGATGGGAATTTGCTGTCTACCTTCTCATGAATTTATGCATTGTTCATGCTTTCCTTTTTATTTGTTTTCCCACAATTTATCATATCACTCACATGTGAGGTATGTTTATTAGTGACCTTGTTTTCTGCTTGCAAAGATTGTATGCCATAAAATACAGCATGTGCTCTCTGTCTTTCTGGTTGTAGATCATTTTCTCATTTGTGCTATGTTAGTACAAAAATCCTTGCTAAGGACCTGCTTAGTAATTTATTTTGAGCTTGAGTTTTCATCAAAAATAATATTTTTCACATTTTTACTTTAAGGAGTATGTGTCCATGATATGTTCAAAGTTGCTGTCATTAAAGACAAAAGCCCAGCGGACCCTGGTTAGTTCTTCACCATCAGGACCTGCTTATACCGTTGAAAATTCTGCACATCAAGGTAGTTATTAAAATTGAGAAGGTGCTTTTATGTGTGGCAATAGGAAGTCTGTGCCTACTCCATCATCTCTTCTTATTTTATCATATACATGAATATTTCTTTCTCAATAAGCATTTTCATTTTCTCAAATTCGTTCTTGCCTTTTCCTTTATTTAATCTCAATTCTTCTCAATTTCAGAATAATCTCGGTCTGAATTCTGAAAACATTAAAATGTTTCAAGTGACCAAAGTTTTTAGTAGCAACATGTTAACTAAATGCTTCTTAACTTATTTTTTTCTCTTGGTTGTTTATGTAAATAGAATCTGACAGGCCTTTGGCCCAGCTGTATGATCAAGGACAATCACTCTCTAATCCATTGGCCAGTCATCCTGAAACATCTAAGCAGCTGTTATTCCAGGAATTTCAAAATTGTATTGCTTCTATTGTACAAAGTTCTGCCAATTCAACATTGACAGTGACTACTTCCACTAATTCTACTAGGATTCCCATGACAAGAGTTAACAAGAATCCAAACTTGGAGACGACTATTTAACAGAGGCAGGTGCAGGGAAGGCAATGTGTGCTTCCGGTTGTTCCTCAACCAGACCAGCAGCATGTTCAGAATGCAGAGAAATATCCTTACAAGCAGAAATTAGAAGATCAGCATCTGAAGCAGAGCTTCAATCAGGGAAATATCATTCACTCTGACATGCAAACTGAGATCCAGCAAGGGGAACAGAAGCACATTATCTCATCACCATCACAGCAATCTGTCATTGTAGCATTTTCTGTTATGCAGCCTTCTGTGATGCAATCAGCCTCGGCAGAATCCAGAGTCTTCTGTTCAACTGCCAATGCAATCTGGACTACAGCAACATCCGTAGTCAATCTCCGAAAATAATACATGTGTATTAGAATTTTTACAAATATCACTTTACATTTATTGTATATAATATTCGAATATATATATATATATATATGAGAATATAGGTTGCTAAAACATTGTAGATATTTTATTTATATATATATATTTTTTTTTGCGACGGCACCACACCGTCGCAAAAAAAAAAAAAAAACACAATTCGCGACAGCATTATTTGCGCTCTCAAATAAGACTTTTAATGACAGTAAAATAGTGCCGTCGTAAAAAGTCTCACTTTTTTACATATTATAGGTGACAGCAAAATATCGTTGCAAAAAGCAACAATTGCTGTTGCAAAAAAAAGGCAAAAGTTTTTGCAACGCCCTCTGTTGTGACCCCCTTTTACTGTTGCTAAAAGTCATTTGCTGTCGCTAAAAGTTTTTTAAGACGACATTAGGAGTATTACCGACGGCATTTTGCGGTCGGAAAAACTTGAATTTTCTGTAGTGATTATTTTACTATCGCTACCATCGCTACCACTACAGCATCACAATGCCGCCGTCGCCATCACCACCACCACCACTATGCCACCGCCACCGTCGGCACCACCACTACCACTATCACTATACCGTCATACCATTACCATCACTACCACTGTCATCACAATAAAAAAAATTGAAATGTACAATTTAAAAGTAATAAATTTTAAAATTTGATTTTATACATATTAAATAACTTATTTTTAATTCAACACCCGATTTTAGTCAAACAGTTTTTCATCTTAAAAAATTCAACATTCAATTTTTAATACTTAATTTTTAATTTTTAATTTTATCAAACACTACCTGAGATAAAATTGATTGGAAGAAATGTGAGGCTGATCCATTGTCAAATTACTCATTTTCATAAACAGCAATTCTACATATACGGAGAATTTATTTTAAAAAATAATCAGATAAACAATTTTGCAATTGAGATTTTTTAAAATGAATCCCACGACATAAGAGTAGAATCTACGCCACTCATTAATTTTCTGGTAAGAATCTGAGTCAACTTTACGAATAGATAGGTTTTCAGTTTCATGAATCCTAAATTTTTAATGAAATGGTGTCCCAACAAACAGAGAAGAGGATGGTTGCAACAAACCTTTGAATTAAGTCACTACTTTTTAAAATTCACTTTACACTTCACAGGAAACCAAAACCAATCTCCAAAATCTCAACCCACAGAAAAAACCAAATACAGATGATTGATTATAGGTGAAGTGGCTCCACTCAAAATATATTTAGCAAGAATAATTGTAAGGGATTAGCACTCTAATTGGAGTAGTAATTTAGCATTATGGATGACTTAGCAAAAATGAATGAGAGGTGGGATTGATGTCAAAAGATCATTTTCTCCCTTAAATTTGGGAAACTAGCTTTTTGGTTAAAATAGTTACAAAAATGTCTAAGACTTCATTTTTTTCCTACCCCTTTTGAACCCCTCTCTCTCATTGGTTGAATTTTCTTTTTCTTTTTTTTTTGTTTCCCTTGTCCTCCAACCACCACCTGCCACGTGTGTGTGGGGGGAGGGTGGTGGGAGTGGTGATTGGAGGGGGTCTCCATCACTCCTCAAATAGTGATAAAGTCAAAACACTCAATCACATTCTTTCTATTTTTTTCAAGTCTTTTTGTAAAAAATCAACTAAAATAGTTAATTCCCAAACAAATTCTAAGGCTTGGTTTGGCATCTTCAAAAAAAGTAAAAAAGTTAAAAAGTCACTATCCTATTTAAGTCACATCATCCTATTTAAGTCACATCACCTCTTTATTCTATCACTTCAAACTCAACCCATATTTCATAAAAAGTCAAAAAATACACTTATTTAAATCATTCCAAATCACCCTTAATTTCAATGATTATACAATGAAAGAAGAGTAATTATAGATTTAATATCAACCAATTAACATCACTACACAACTATACAGACAAACATGTTTTATCTTATGTTTTTAACATAATATCATTATATTATTAATTTCCTCATTCAATTTTGTCACGCTCATAGTTCTAGCTAACTTAATCTGCAATATCTCTCCCACCTGTTCCTCACGGGCTGCAGAGCCCCCCCTGCCCGCCCCTCCATACATCCCTCTAAAGTTTAAAGTTCTCACTCGGTCACTTCGGTCAGCTCCAATAAAAAAAACAAACAATTATTGATTGTTATGTAACCCACATATATTGCTCTATTACAAATGGAAGCAATCAGACGAAAAACCGGCATTGCCGTCCCAACCAAACAGAGCACAGTCTCTCTGTCTCTCTCTGCTTGCTCCGCCTTTTTCTCTCTCTCTCTCTCTCATAGTTTCGGATATTCCGATACTTTCTGTCTCTATAAAGCCTTTAGAATTTTGAGTTTCAACCCTATTGGAGTCATAATTGTGATACTTGTAGAGCAAATGAAGAACAAGCTCTTCCTCTGTTTCCGACCTGTTACCATCGAAACAGAGACACAATCCAACGATCGGGCTTTCACTCGTCGCACAGTCGCCAACCACATAATTGCAAAGGTTTCTGTGATTAATAAATCTCCTTTTTCTTCCTGTGAAAGTTCGAAATATTCAGAGAAAGTTATTCATGATCGAAAAAGAGACACAAAAAAGAAGTCGTTTACTGGGGTTGTCAAGGCAGTTCTCTTCGAAGTTTCTTTGGTTAGTCCTCAAACAATCCCAACTTTGTGTTTAGTTTTCACTATTTACAAGACCTTCTTGATAAGCTTATATATGCTATTTCTAATTGTTCGCAGAGAAAGAAAGCTCGGGATAGAAAAGCTCTTCAACTTAAAGTGGGTTCCAAAATCAGTGATTCAAGCGAAAGTGATTTGTTTTCGGGGATATCAAAATCACCCAACACAAATTCTCATTCATTCGAATCATCTTCAAGTTCATGCTCTTCCTTGGATTTATCACCGAACAAGTGTTGTGACTCACAGTTGATAAATTTGAGTTCATTGAATCTGAAAAAACAGAGCATCAACAAAGAGAGTGGGGTTTCAAGTTCAAAAGCAGGGTTGTTGTTGATTCTCATCATTCTTTCCTTCACTATATTTTGTGGTCGGCTCCGTGCTATGTTGTTTACATGGCTATGGCTTTACTTGATGTCTCGCAGGAGACGAGAGATTGCAGGAAGATAGTCATGTAATTGAAGGACTGCTCAATTAGTTCAATATAAATATTTAACATGATTATATTGATTTTTCTTAAAATTTTAATTTATGTATGAAAAAATTAAGAATTCCTTAGATATTGATTTGTGAGTATGTATCAATTTTAATAAGTAAATAGCAATTTCAATCAAACAATTAAAGACAAATCAATACAATGATTTTACGTGTAAAAATCACAATTGGAGCGCTTCCAATTGTGATAAAAAAAACCACGGATAAAAACCACAAAACAATTCACTAAAAAGACATAAAGGAATTACACAGGTATATTCTCAATTACTTTGTGAATCCACGCCCGAATTGAACCAACCCCTATGTGCCTCTTCCAACCCCGTCTTCACCTCGGAATTGTTTTGTCCAACATTGAATCCCCAATGCCGATGTCGAATCACGACGATGAGCCACACCAGAATCCACCAAAGCTTCAAGCTCGAATTCTCCAAAATCTACTGAAGAACAACTCTCTCTCTTTTGTATAGAATAAACAAACAATCCTTTGATGTATACTTCTTAAATCATGAGTTGAATACTCAATCAAAACATCAAAGAAAACTAGCAAAATAGCCCAAATATAAACCCTAATATCCAAAAAGAAGATCTGGAAGCGTAACCCTGAAATCTGACTGACACACATGTATAGCAATCTGTTCCGCGATCTTTGCTCGAGCGCTAGAATGGCCGCTCGAGGGGACCGACGCTCGAGTGCAGGAATTTCCGCTCGAGCGAAAAAATACAACTGCCAGTAATTTTGTAGGCGATCAAACTTCTGGAACCAAGAATTCTCCACTCAAGCGGGGGAATGTCTGCTCGAGCGGAGAAGCAACTTCGAATATATTTTTGCATTTTGCTTCGGGGGCGCTGCCTCTCAACCTCGCCGTGGCGCTACCCTAGACCCGCCAAGGGGCGCTGCCCCCTGGACCCCCACGAGCTGACTAGGCAGCTTGATCCCCGTCATAGTCAGCGAAGTGGCAAACATGAAAGAATTATCTTCTAAAACTTCTCTGCAAGGCACAATTCGAGTTGGATTCACATCTAAAAACTCATAGCCTCACTGAAATAAAAGTGCGAAAACAAGTACAATTGAAAGGAGTTTTGTCAAACGGAATTACCAAAAATAAAACCTAACAATATAGGATATAATTTTTTTTAAATTATTGTTAGACTTATTTATTTTGATGATTTATTTAATTATGTTTTAATTTATTTGAAAGAGAAAAATAGAATCAATGTTTATTTTGATGATTTATTTAATTATGTTTTAAGTTATTTTGAAAGAGAAAAATAGAATCAAAATTTATTTTCTCCCATTATTTCTCACCTAAACCTTTATCCTAAATGTTGTTAGAATGTATTTAATATTTGATTAAATTAGGAGTTCAAATAACCCGAAACAGAGGTTCAAACAGTCCAGCACAGCAGCAGTTCAAAAGGTTCAAGTGGAAGATATTCAAATTAGTAATGATGGAGTGGAAAATATTCAAATTAGTAATGATGGAGTACAACAGCTATAAATGGCTATTAATTCAAATGAATACAATGGCTATAAACGGCTATAAGTTTTATTATATATACCAAAGCCTCTAATGTAAACAAGTGACAACAAAATCCTGAAAATATTCTTTGATCTATAATCACTCACATCTATTCTCAGAAATTATACACTGAGCCTTATAGCATTAAGCTCATCTTTCCTGTGTGAGATTTACAAAAAAATCAAAGTTTCATTTTATATATCTATCTTTCAGAGATATTTATTGTAAGCTTTCTTTGAAAGCAAAAATACTATTTCATCTTGTAACAGTGTTGCAAACACTGTGTTCTTGAAATATTGAGAGTGATTGTGAATCACCTAAGATTTGCAAAGGTTTGGGCTTGTGAAGTCTGTGTAAAATCCGTGGAGGATTGCTCCATTTGTAAAGAGGTTGCTAGCACCCCTATGAAGCTAGAAGATAGTGAAAAATCTCAAGTGAAGCTTGAAGAGTGGATGTATGCTTGGTTAAAGTCGAACCACTATAAATCTATTTATCTCATCTTCCCTAATCTCTTTACTTTTCTACTACTGCTATAGCTATCTAATATTCATGTGTTAATCATTTAATTTACCTTGTATGTTAGTTATACTTCATTGTTAGTTTGCTTGATCATTTACTGCTAAGTTCATCATTGTGCTTGTTAATAATTTATTGTACTAGTAGTTAATTTTATTGGGATATTATTAATTTTAATTTGTAGAAACCTAATTCACCCCCCTCTTAGGTTGCTTTTTGGGTAACAATAGGTATCAGAGCCTGGTGTTCTTGTTTAGATTTAACAATCTTGAATTTTTGATCCATAGCAACCATGTATTCTACTTACTCTGCTGTAGGACAAACTAGCAATAGGCCACCTCTATTTGATGGTAGTAATTAAATTCATTGGAAGAAAAAATGACTATGTATCTTCAAGCTACCAATTATGCTTTGTGGCTCATTATCACGAAAGGTCCTAAAATTCCTACCAAGGTAGTAGACCAGATCAGTGTTCCTAAACTTGATGATGAATTTGATGAGCGTGATTATAAACTCCTTCAAGCTAATGCTAAAGCCAAACTTATTCTTGTGTGTAGACTAGATACAAATGAGTACAATAGAATCTCTGGGTGTATTACTGCTAAAGAGATTTGGGATAAACTTGAAATCATCTATGAAGGAACTAGCCAAATAAAAGAGTCTCGGATTGACATGCTTATTCATGATTATGAACTCTTTACTATGGAATCATTTGAATCTATTTCTGATATGTTTTATAAATTTACCAATATTATTAATGCTCTAAAATCTCTTGGTAAATCTTATACTAATGATGAGTTTGTAAGAAAAATACTTAGGTTTTTGCCAAATGAATGGGAAGCTAAGGTTACAGCTATCCAAGAATCAAAAGACATAACAAAATTAGGCATTGAAGAACTCCTAGGCTCACTCATGGCTCATGAACTTTCAATGATGGATGACAGCAAAAAGGAAGCCATTTGGGGAGAAAATGATGGAGTAGCCAACCTGTGTCTCATGTCTCTTGGAGAAGAAGAATCCACTCACGATGAGGTAATTTCTAATTATGTAGAACTTGAAAGTGCTTTCAATGAATTACATGGAATATTTAGAAACGTTTGTGTTAAGAATTCTAAATTAAAGAAATTAGTTACTTCTCTTTCAAATGATGTGGGTGTTTTAAAAATGGAAAATGCTACTTTGAAAAATGGCTTCACGTCTATTGCCAATGAGAAAAATATTTTGAAAAATAATGTTGAAGATTTAAACAAAACTCTTGAAAATTTTGTAAAAGGAAAAGAAAACCTCAACAAGCTTCTTGGAAATAAAAGATGTGTTTTTGACAAAATAGGCATTGGTTTTGATCCTCCTAAACCTTTTATGAGATTAAATGTTCTTGAGACTAATCCCCATGGACCCAAGAAAGTATGGGTACCAAGAAAGAAATCAAAATATTTTGTAGGTGGAATCTCAAAGAACACCAAGGACTTCGACAGGAAATGCACAACAAGAGTGTTCAATCTAAAGAGCAAAATCAGCTCCTACAAGAAGAAGAATGATGAAATGAAAATCACCAAGATGAACAATAGAGGTAATGTATGGGTGAAGATTCCAAAGAGGTAAATGAAGGTATAACTCCTTACACACCTTTAAGCTTAAAGTTCTATATTCTTTAAGGTGTGATTTGTGTACAATAGGTCGTGTCTAATCATTGCTTCCATGTAACCTAATTGTACTAAGCTTACTAAATCATGTTCTGCTAGTTTCTTTCAAACATTCATTGAACTCAAAAATGAGAATTATATTATTTTGATGAATGCCTATTAAAATATTAATGATTCATGTATTCATTAACATTTTATATCATGTCATCCATTGCTATGAAAAAGAGATAAAAAGTGATAATTTTTTTTTGTGAGCATAATTTTCACATCTTATATATGACTTCATAATAATATATTAATTCCTTTTTGAGTCATATCTTTGTAGAATCAATTTTGATGTCATAGCATGTTTTTGAGATGTATACTATCTATATTTTGAATTCTACATTTGTGATCTCAAGAATATGCTCAATATGAAAATTTCATGCTTATATGCTTTACATTGGAATATTTGAATGAGTTGTGAAATTCCTTGATTATGATCCATCAACATTGTCTAAATGAAAAGAAGTATCATACGTTTGTAGAGATATTGCATCTATCCTATTGAATATCTTTTGAATATGGATTATATTGGTATACATCTCATGAAATGCTTTTGATTGATAAATTGTTGAATTAATTGTTTATAACATTCATGTTGTGTTCCATATTGAGTAAAATGCTTTATCACACTTGAGTAGGTGGATTGAATTGATGAAAATGCTTCTTGATAATGTTATGTGATTAAATGAAATTGTTGTATCATTTCTTAATAAAACAAAGAACATAAAACTATTTTCTTATGCATATTATGCTATGCGTTACAACTTGAAAATTCTGAAAAATAGCATTCCAAACTCTTGTTTGATCATTGAATTATTTTTCACTTTTTTAGTTTGTGATAAGAAGTGATTTGTGTTGTATTTTTTATAGAGTAATAGTGATTGTTCTATGAATGCTATATTTACACAAAATAGAAAAGGGTAGCACTAACTTAGGGGGAGAAATCATTTTGCTAACATATTTGTTAAACCCTTTTGAGATGAACTCCTCATGAAAGAAAATTAAAGATTGAAAAGCTCCCATCTCTTGAACTAAGGTATGCCTCATATACTCTCTTAAGCTTTTGAGGTAAAAATTCTATCTTATCTCCCTTGAGCTAATACTGTTATTACTTTGATATGAAAAAGATTGATTATGCTTCATATGATTTGCAATGTATACTCTTTGATGATACTCTTACCTAAAAATCATGCCTATACTTAAATGTGTGGTACATATTGAAATTCATGATTTTTCTTGGCATATGGATTGCTATACCTTGAACATGCTTAATTTTTTTTTGGGAATTACATTAGCTTCATGAGATTATATTGAGTTTAACCTATTATGAGCAATATTTGGTATTCTACATAATGCTTGAGCCATGATTGTTAAATC